GCTCCCACCCACTTCAGATGCGTCACAAGTAGTAGGTCCCCAGCTTCTGTCGGACTTGACCACAAATTAGAGGTCCCCAAGACTCCCCGCTCAGGTGTGATAATTTACTCGAGTGGCTAACAGAACTCAGGGAAACCAGTTCATTAAAGGATAGAGATGAACAGCCAGATGGAGCACATATGGCAAGGCCTGTTGGGATGGTCCCAAGCACAGGGGCTTTTGGCCCCATGCAGTTGGAGTGTTCGCCCTCCCAGATGAATTCACCAACCAAGAATTTAACCCCACAATACTGGGATTTTTGGAGGCTTCCTCATGTAGGCATTTAACTGCATTTTCAGCCCTTTTCCCTTCTCAAGAAAATGGGGGTTGGGCTGAAAATTCCAACTTCTGATCTGATCATAGCTTGATCTTTCTCTGCCTGGCCCTTGTCCAGGAGCCATCCAGAAGCCAACCCAAAGCCACTCAGAACAAAGGCACCCTTATCACCCAGGACATTACAAGGGACCAGCCATGTTAGGAGCCAGGGTCAAAAACCAGTATTAGAACATGCACCAAGTGCTCTTATCACTCAGGAAATTAGAAGGATTTCATGAGCTCTGTGTCAGGACCCAGAGACAGAGACCAATATATATTTTCTATTTTCTTACAATATGGTAATTCTATTTTTAAGTTTTTGAGGAACCACCATACTGTTTTACATAGAGGCTGGACCATTTTATATTCTCATCAACATTGCACAAGGGTCCAAACTCAGCAACATTTATTTTGTTTAAGTAGCCATCCAAATGGGTGTGAGATACCTCATTGCGATTTTAATTTGCATTTCCCTAATAATTAGTGATGTTGAACATCTTTTCATATACTTATGGGCCATTTTTATATCTTCTATGAAGAAATGTCTTTTTTCTATTTTGTTTTGATGAGCTTTATTTTTTAAAGCAGTTTTAGATTCACCGCAAAATTAATGTGGAAAGTACCGGTGTACTGGTTAATGCAGATTTTGTAATCAAAGAAAAATGATAATTTCAAGAGAAACATCAAAAGTGTTTTATTCAAAGTAATGTCCATCGCTAGCTACACATTTCTCCCATCTTTCAGGTAATTTGTGGATACCGTCCCAATAGAACTTTTCTTGTTTTGAGGCAAACCATTCAGAGACCCAGTTTTCCACTTCTTCGTATGTTTTGAAGTCCTGCTCAGAAAGTGCATGTGCCATCGACCGAAACAAGTGGTAATCTGAAGGAACAAGGTCTGGTGAATACGGGGGGTGGGTTAATACTTCCCAGGCAAGATCTTTTAATGTGTCTTTAACTGGTTTTGAAGTGTGTGAAGGCGCGTCATCATGAAGCAAAATTACTTTGCCGTGTCTTCTGGCCCATTCTGGTCGTTTTATGATCAAAGCATGGTTCAAATTGATTATTTGTTGTCGGTAGCGATCAGTATTAATGGTTTCACCTGTTTGTTTGGTTTTTTTAATTGTCTAAAGTTTTACATATGTCTTCTTTTTTCCCAATTGACCCCCCAGCCACTCTCACTCATTGTCATTTTAATTTGCACCTCCTTGATGCAAATGATAACTTAGAGCAGTGATGTCGAACCTTTTGAGCTCGGCATGTCAGCATTTTGAAAAACTCTAAATTAACTCTGGTGCCACGTCACATGTA